CCCCCTCCCTACCCCCTTGGAACCCGAACAGGAGCGCCCGTCCCGACCGGCGCTTTCCTCCTCGAGGATACTGTGCTCGGGGACAAGCTCACCATCCCCGCGGGGGCGAAGCTGTTGTCGGTGGATGGCACTCCTACGGGACACCTGGACTTCAAAACCGCGAGAGAGGTGGCGCTCACTGCCGGGGCTAAGTCCGTGCTAGCGTTCGAGTAGGTAGCAGCAACAATTTCGTGATAGCTTTTCGACGACTAGGCAGCAGCACCTTGCGCTGACGGGCGCCTGCGGTGGGCTGGAGCACTGGGACTACTGCTGCTGCTGTGATAGTATAGCGATGAGGATTGCTTTTGGAGAGTCGTAGAAGGTCAGCGATGAGTACGTCTAATAGTAGTTTTTTTTTTGTTATTGTTATCAGCTGAATCCTTCAGCAGACACGAGCCACCGAGGATGCACTAGTGTCTTTGATTTTTTGTTTGGGAGTCGGACTTTTGGTGCACGGCCGACCCGCGAAAGCCAAAACAAGCCAGGGAATATGTACAAGTGACTTTGGTTTGGCTTGTCGTCAGACTTTTTGGTGCACTGCCGACGTGCGAAAGGAAAACCGTGGGCTCGACTGATCGCCTTGTTTGGCGTTAAGAGTATTTTTAGGCGGTCTTCTTCCTCGCGGCAGTGTGGGGGGCCATGCAGAAAGTAGTGGTGATTTGTTACCCCCCCCTCTAGGAACGATTTGTCATCGGTGGTGGGTCCTCCGTCGTCTAGAGGACGCGTGGTCGATGGGCTAACACGGCAAAAAAAAACATTAGAGAACGCGCACACACCCTCCCTCCGGAGAGCGTGATGTAGTCGGCGGACCGCCAGTCCTACTTTTATCTTGCTGCTATTTTTTTTACGCGGTAGATTGCTTCTCCAGGTTTTATTTTTTTCGAGACGTAGAAGAAACTTGAGTTATGTGAAATGTCACCTCAGACTGTCGTAAATTGTGACTTCAGCAGCGTGAGCCTGAGGCCCCGGTCTCATAGTTCTTGGGTAGACGGAATAGTTGTTTGGGAATATTCGGGAATCGTCCTCGACAGACGTTTGTTGGAGAAGGTGTGGTCCTCTTGAACGACCATCGTATTAGAGCTTGTTCACGGTTTCCGTCTCGAGAGGGGATATCTTGGGGGTAATGTTTCGAGTCCAATTTCGCGCCGTCATGCCCTTAATTTCTCTTTGGGCGTTGTCTCGTCCAGTACGGAGCTGGTTTGTTTGTTGTTGCCACGTGTGGTTTGGAATGCCTTGTTTGTGTGTGCGGAGAGATACATACCGGATAGAAAAGCAATGGCGTTCCTCTTTGTTGCCTCTTGGAAAGATGGCCCGCGTGGTGTAAGTATGGTGTGTCTCTTTTTGCATTCGAATCACCTGTTTTTGCCCATGTGTCCAAAAGTTGTTTTTGCGCAAGTGTTGTGATTGGATTGACCCTTGGAGTATAAGTATTTTCATGAGTGCCATGGTATTTGTTATCTAATAGTGTGTTCCAGTGGCCTGCTTTCGTTGTCCAACCAATGGCTGTTGCGCCACGCGAGTTCACTGGGTGTCATGAGTGATACAAGTGGGTATCTGGTGGCACGCGGTTGGCTGATTAGCTCGAGAGGGTAAATCCTTGTGTTCGCTTGGTTTGCTACTACGCGAAGCAGGACCGGCCTTAATACGACGTACGTTTTGCCAGCCCACCGTGTTCGCTTTGATTGCACGAGCACAAAACTCCCTGGCGTAATTTGTTTGACACCTATTCTTACATTGAGTGAATGCGTTTCTCTTCTTGTAGTTACATGTAGAGGGTTTCACCAGCATTTGTTCCCTCGGTAAAGCACCAGACAGACGACGGACATCGCACTCGCGCAGATACATCGGGCGCAGATAGACTTTAAAATGCCTCTCGGTCGATTCGTGACATAAGAGTCAAATCAAGTGGAGTTGGCGATGTTTTCGGTGGTGCCTGCCACATGTCCGTGGCCTCTCTGCGCTGGTTTTTGTTCGGGGCGGGGGACCTCGTACATTTCACGGCATGGAAACAATTTGTAGCCAGTCATACATGCACTTAGACTATGCGATAT